CCCCCCCCCCCATGGCTAATTCAGCAAATGGCACGACCGAAGACCCCAGAGCTGACTAACAGGAAATATAGGCATCTGTCACCTCCCGGGGAGAGGTAAATGGATTAGCGAAACCAACAAAGGGAAGAAAAACCCCTTTCAAACAGGCAACTGATTAACAAGTCCCCTCTAATCTGCAGCATCACTGTTGTTCCTTAAAAACACCATCGGGTCCCTCGTGCACGCCGCTGCAATGCAGGGAAAGCCTCCTAAAAAGAGTAGAAGATTCACTAGTCATCGGCCAACCAAGTCCCGTCGCAAAACTGACTCGGGCCAGGCCGGTTACAAACCTGACGTGCAATTGACGAGCGTCATCTCCCCAGGATCGCTGGGCAAAACAACAAAAAAAATCAGCTGCAGGGGTCCATTTTCCAGCGAGCGGGTTTGAGCGAGATCAAAGTGTGTCGGGCTGACCCCCGAGGCTCCTGCTCCCCTGCCCACGCCACAGCCTCCCAGGGGAAGGGAAAAGCCAAACCTCTCCCGGTTGTTTCAAGGGGAGGGCCCCGAAGCTGAGCTGAGCGGGAGCGGGCAGGGAACAAACAGCGCAAGGCTGCAGCGTCTTTTCCAGGCACTGTAACTCTGACCCCAGAGCGCTCTATAAACCCCGGCGGCGTGGGCCACAGCCGCAGCCAGTCCACCACGGCGCGAGGTCAGATGTTAATAGGGCCAGTTTATTCAGCTCTCCAAACAATCGCAGGGCTCGGTGAACCGAGTCCGGTCGTTTCCCGATTCCCCCGGGCTGCCCCCTCGGCTCTCTGCGGCTCAGCCAGGTACGCACAGGAAATGGGACCCTCCAAAAACACACACACAGAAGGAGACTCAATTAAGCCTCCATCAACGCCAAGCACAGATGTTAATAGGGCCAGTTTATTCAGCTCTCCAAACAATCGCAGGGCTCGGTGAACCGAGTCCGGTCGTTTCCCGATTCCCCCGGGCTGCCCCCTCGGCTCTCTGCGGCTCAGCCAGGTACGCACAGGAAATGGGACCCTCCAAAAACACACACACAGAAGGAGACTCAATTAAGCCTCCATCAACGCCAAGCATCGCTGCCCTCCGCCCCCC